CACACACACACACACACACACACACACACACACACACACACACACACACACACTGTGGAAATGTTTCATTCTGATGCAAACATTTTACACACACTAAAATTAAAGTTGTCTATATTTTTTGAAAAATATTTTTGATCTAAAAATTGATTTTTTCTGCCATTCCTTGAAAGAATGCATATTGCTCGCTACTTTTCGTTCTAGAGTTTTAAACTAAAACCATCTATAACAGGACTATTCAATTAAGTTGCTCTGGGAGCCACAGTTACTCAAAGCCAACAGCTCAGAGACTGGACATCTGGGTTTTGAGTGTGGSGTGTTGTGGGGGCCATTGCCCGAAAAAGGTAGGGAAAACATTGCATTATGTAAAAAAACAAACAAGCAAACAAGTATTATCGTCTTTTATCCTGTAAATGAGATTATTTTGCTGCACTGAATTCTAAATGTCACATTAAAAACTGTTAAATTTATTTTTATATTAACTGAAGTAAAGAAATAAAAAAAAAATTGTTAAGAACTCATTGGCAGGCTGGACTGCAGTCATCTATAGGCCAGATGTGGCCCACGGGCTGCCAGTTGTATAGCTTTGATCAATACTGATGATGCAATGCTCAATATTGTGATGTCTTATGAGAAGTGTTAGTCAAATAATGTGTTGAGAATGACTTTCAGTTGTTTTCACACCAGTCTGTTTGCTAATTTACAAGACATTTTGCTAACATACATATTGACATTGATGGTARAGCTTTAAGCAAAAATATTGCACTGTGGCTAGTAGTTGGCGAATGTGTTGGGGATAATGCTCAGCTACAACCGCACCACATTTTAGCTCAATATTTATACAACTAATTTCTACTTTTGTGTGTCCTAAGGTAAGCTGACTGTAGAGGCTTACCTCTGATTGCTTTCTTAAAATTTGTCCAGTGCTCAAGGGATAGCCCACTCTAATAGCTTWTGGCAATGGTTTTAAATTCTCTTGCTGACCTTCATCTTGTACCTTAACAAAAACTGAGCATTTTAGCCATTTTGTCTTTGTTATTAAGGTCACTAAACTGTGGTGATTATCTCAAAATAAGGTATACTCCAGTAGTTATTTAGTTGCAGATGTTCAACCAGTGATTACTGTCTAAGAGTTTAAATAAAATTCATCCACTTCTACCTTGCATCTGTCAGTGTGCCCCAGGGAAACTGTGGTTACAATGTAGCTTACCATCATCAGTGTGTGAGTGTGTGTGGATCGGTGAACCTTGGGGTCCACGTGGACTTGATAAGGCACTATGTTCAACCATTTACTGGCTTATGAGGTATTATGCTACATCAATTGGACACACACAGGAACTTGCATAAACATTATCACCCATCTTTGCCTTTTGGTAACATGTGATAAATATATATAAATACTAAATGTATCATTACACTGTAAAGACCACGTTAGATTAGTGGTGCGTTTTGGAAGAAAAAGACTTTACAAAGTWTATTTTTCTAACAGTGGCAGTGATTTTTTTTGGTTCTGTCTCTTTTGACATCCTGTTTGATTAAAATCTTCCTCCTCCGCTCCCACTTCTTCTCTACCTGCCCCCTCTCCAACAGGTGACAGCGATAGGTTAGTGTGTTTGGAAGATGGCCTATGGTCTTTCCCAGAGGCCTACTGCAAGATTGAGTGCGCCGAGGGTCCAGACATTCCCAGCGCCAAACTGCTAACAGCACACTGTCTGGATTCAGGGCACCATGTTGGCTCCATGTGCCATTACAAATGCAACCCTGGCTTCTATGTAGCAGGGAGCCTCAAAAACAAGACACCGAGGTGGGTCAGRTTATGGGACAGTACTTGGACAGCAGTTTAAGGAAGTTTGGGTTTGAGGAGCTTCTAGTACATTCATCTTACACACATTTGTTTTCAATGTTCATGTGCATTCTGGATATTTACTGGCTATGCTTATTGAGCATAAATGCTTTTAAAGTCCAAGTGGCTTTTTAATTTGCTTTAACTGCTGTTCAACGTAAATGACCTTAAGTGCAGTGTCTAATTATGTCTGCTTTCCTACGTAATGGATTTCATTTGTTCATTTCCTTCAATTTACAAGATTCCCAACACACACCTACTAGAAATAGCACTTATGATTCTGTTCCCTAATACAACAATACAACACATCACATGAATAACCAAACCTCCAAAGGGCATAGTTTTAAAAACCGAGAGCTGTTTTAAGAGGTATTTCTCATCCTGTCAGCTGCGTGAATGGATTCAGTTTCTAAACAAACTCTTATTAAGGTCCAATAAAATATGTACCTTTTGGTAACTTGGCCTCGTCATCGCTTTGCCAACTGTATCCACCAACTAAGAGCTCATTACTGAACACATTTCCTGTGTTAGTAATGAGATGTGGGTTTCCAAATAAGAGACACCGCCTCTGGGGTGAGTTTACGTTCTCCTTTTAAATGGAGTCAACACTTTCTATTCACACGTTTTTGTCTGCTGAAGTTGTTTATGTGCAACACGTATGCAATGCTTTCCTCAACACAGCTTCACCATACCTAACAAGCTCAAATATGCATGTTGTATATATCAACATATAAGTTCAAAAATATACTTTTTATAGAATTATAATTAACTACATTTTTCTCTAAGATCAGAAAGTATGTGTTAATATTGAAGTTAGGCACCTTTATGAGTTGCTTCTAAAACATATGTGTAAACATTTTAACAAGCTAACGCACTTTATTGGTCCAACATGTGAAAGTGAACTACAGCCGCTATTAAATAGAACAGGCTTTTCGCACTTACCTTTGACATGTGTACCCTATAAAACATTTATATAAATACAAATTATGAAACATATTTTTGTCTTCACACGCAACACGCACCACACAGGAGAGCTTTTTATTTTTGAATATTAGTCAACCACCAAAGGTTCAAAGAAAATATTTTATTGCGATAAACCTCAGTGCATCTCAGCAGGCTTTTATTAACTAAACTAAAATACTTATTTTGTGTTTGATCAAATGTGACAGTTAAAATACATTTAACCTGTGGGACAAATGTATATTAAATGCTCTAAAAATGGTATTTATATGGGAGAAACTTGATACCAAATTAGGATTTCTTGAAGTTGTTAAAATAATAGTTGAGAAATTTTAACGTTTTTTGTTTGGGCAGGTAATAGTCAATAAGCATCTCCCTTGATGTTTGATTGACCTCAGTTTGGAAAAGTAGTTTTATTCTTATCAGATCCATCCATCCATTTATCTATCCATCCATCCATCGTCTTCTGCATATTACATTTCGAGCTGCGGGGACAGCTACTTGACCTCTCTTTCCACAGCCACCTCTTCCAGGTCTTTGGGAGGATTCAAAGACATTCCCAGTTCAGCTGAGAGACATAATCTTTCCAGTGTGCCTTGGGTCTTCCTCTGGGTCTCCTCCCAGTCAAACATACCTGAAGCACCTCCCTAGCGAGACGTCCAGAAAGCATCATTACCAGATGCCTGAACCACCTCAACTGGCTCCTCTATGTGGAGGAGCAGCAACTCTTCTCCGAGTCTCTCCCAGATAACTGAACTTCTCACCCTGTCTCTAAGGGAGAGTCCAGCTACCCTGCAGAGAAAATGCCTACCTGTATCTGCAATCACATTCTTTTGGTCACAACTCAAGGTTTGTGGCCGTAGGTAGGAACATAGACTCACTGATAAACAGAGAGCTTTGTCTTACCACTCAGCTCCCTTTTCTGATCAGATTAAAAAGCTAATGAGTAGTCCTAGCAAGGCCTTGAGCAAAGAAGGTCTCTGACAACGTGTGAAAGAAAAATCAAAAGTACTTCTGCTATAACTAATTCAAAGCTGACAGTGACTTAAAGGTTTATAAAAGAGATTTTGCATGAACCACTGATGTTTTTAGGATTGTAATTGTTTTAAAATGACAGCATCCCACATTTTGTGGACCTGATCTGGTGTCAAGCTGGCATTGCTGTCTGACTGCTGGCATGGCAAGTGGCTTGTCAACCAGATGTGGGCCAAGTCTGGCAATGATGGCACTGTTTTTAAAGATGGCATGCCACAACTTGTCCAGTTCTGGTTTGGTTTTTGTGGCCCAAATCTGTCTATGCCAAAACTGGCCCAGTACTGGTTTGGTTTATGTGGCCTAAATCTGTCAGTACCACAACTGGTCCAGTTCTGGTTTGGTTTTTGTGGCCCAAATCTGTCTATGCCAAAACTGGCCCAGTACTGGTTTGGTTTATGTGGCCTAAATCTGTCAGTACCACAACTGGTCCAGTTCTGGTTTGGTTTTTGTGGCCCAAATCTGTCAGTGCCACAGTTGGCCCACTTGTGGTTCAGTTTATGTGGTGCTGGCCCATGCTTATACCACCTCTGGTAACTCACATTTGGGCTACCAAAGGATCATCAGTTTTTGCGGTATCTGGGCCAAGAGTTAGTGCTTAGTGTGTTGTGTGGGCCAGAACTGAGCCAGACAAAACTTTGCTATGTGGGATTATTTTTTGATCTTGGAAATTGAATATTTAAACTCTGTCTAGCCATTAATGTCACTCATATATAT